GCTGGCAACGAAAGCGTTTCACAAGTGTTATCTCAATCTAAATGCTGAAAGGCTTAGGCTGTTTCCAGTTCTACTTCGGGAATGGGAAAGCCATGACGTCAGAGTCCAGCAGCTTGTCCAGGATGGGACAGAGTAGAGACACAGGCGGGTCCTCTTGGTACTAATCTCTCTGCTCCCACAGACCTCCCCAGCTACTTCCAGCCCCAAGGGACTATGGGTAATATCCCTTTCTGGTTTTCCATGTGTGTTTTTATGTGAAAACTGTGAACAAAACTGCCGGACAGGAGGAGAGGGAAGAAGGGAGGGAGTGAGAGAAGGGGGGAGGGAGAGAAGGAAGGAAGGAAGACTATAAAAATGGACTGAAGCACACTGGTGTGTGTGTGCTCAAGTGGATGTCAGGAGTCATCCTCGGATGTGACTCCGAGTTAACAGATGAAGGGAACAGATGCAGAGGTGACTGCAGTGGTCTGGCCCGGCTCCCTTACCACATCGTGACAGACTTGTTTAAACTACAGACACCTGGCCTGGGGAGATGAACCAGTGGTTAAAGCCCAAGTGGAAGACCAGAGTTCAGATCCCGAAGACTCACATAGGACTCGCATAGATGTTGGATGCTCTGGGCATACTGTCACACACCTTTAACTCCAGCATTGAGGATGCAGAGGCAGGCAGATCTCTACGAGTCTGAGACCAGTTAGTGCTACATAGTGAGACCCAGTCTCAAATGTGGTGATAAACTAAAAAACAAACAAACAAAAACTGAGTGGATGTGGCTACCCAGCTGTAACTCCAGCCTTGGAAGGAAGGGGACAGGGAATCCCTAAAGCTGAGGACAGTGTTCATCTCTCTCTGCTTCCTGATTGCACCTGCCACCACATGTCCCCACTACGGTATTCTCTCAAACCACAAGCTGAGACGCACCCCTTCTCCCTTTGGCTGTTTCTGCCGGGAATTTAGTCACAGCAAAGGGAACGTAAGTACTTCAAACGCTGGCGTCCTCTGACTGCCACCCCCACTCAGCTCTCATCAGACACAGGAAGGGAAAGCATGGCGGTGGTGTGGAGGGTGTAGAAGTCTATATTTCCCTTACTTCAGAGCGTTTGCCTTCTGCCGCTGCCCACAGAAAAGGCTCTGACTAGACAGCAGAGGCTCCCAGCTCTGAGGTGGCAGGCAGTGAAGGGCCAGGGGATGACAGCCTGAAACTACATGATGGAAAAATCACCAAGCCAGACATGGGTTCTGCCGCATCGCATTCTGCACCTTGAGCGTTACTGAAAGAATACAAGGATGCCTGAATATTGTCTGATTATGTCCCAAGGAGACTAAGCGTTTCCAGATCAGCCTAGAGCTGGTCCTCAGCCCGGAAGACCTGCCCCTGGGAAGGGAGCTGTGATTGCTCCTCACTGCACCTGAAAAGCTCTTCCATGCTGACGTGCTTGGGTGAGCTTTGCCACTGCCCATGGCTCGATAGTAGGAACTCTGAGCTCTCACACAGCACAAATCTTAGAACCAAATCGCTTTCCCCCAAGGATAAACTAAGAGGATTTCTGACAAACACCTACAACACATGGCTTAATTACACAAGAAGAGAACGCTTCATGTGAGGTGTGACTATTTCTAGAGCATGTTTTGAACTTGGTGTTTTTGATCCTGCTCACCTCTGACTGAGCCACATTTTTTGGACCTTTCTGTGTTCTGCCTTTGAACTTTAGGTGTCTGTGTCTTTGAGGACAGTTGCTCAAAGGTCATCCAGAATGCAAATGTTGTTTTTCACCTGGTGGGGGTTTGTGTTGAATGACATCATTGTATCAAAAAGCTGTCAGAAAACCTTGTCCTTCTTTCCCAAAGAAGCAGCTGTGAGTAACTGAATCGTGGAGACATAGCTGAAGACCTGGGGAGACGGCTCAGCGGGGAGAGGTGCTTGCCACGCAAGCCTGGAGACCTGAGTTCGATCCCTTGAATCTGGGTGAAGAAGAAAACCAACCCCACAAAGCTGTCCTCTGGCCTCCACTGCATACCTTGGCATGTGCATGTCCCCCGTGCAGATCACACACACACACACACACACACACACACACACACACACACACACACACACACACAATCATAATTTTTAAAAAAGAAGAACTAAGACATCAGTATGTCTGGCTTCAATACGTAGTGTTCAGAGTGTGGGCCTGGAAAGAGCAAATTAAAAATGGGTGATGCCGAGAAAGGCAAGAAGGTTTTTGTTCAGAAGTGTGCCCAATGCCTCGCTGTGGAACAGGGAGGCACAAGTCTCCATGGTCTCTTTGGGTGGAAGAAGGGTCAGGCCTCTGGACTCTGGCAGAGAAGCCAACAGAACAAGGACATCACTGGGGAGAGGACACACTGGCAGAGAATCCCAAAAATCACATGCCTAGAACAAAAATGATCTTCAATGGGCTTGACTAGAGAAAAGACACCTGACAGCTTCCCTTGAAAAGGCTGCTGGTGAGTAATAGTGTCTGCCTGCTTATTACAGAATAGACATCTCACAGCTTTCAATGTGAACCATGATGTAATCCATACACAAGAATTCAAATCACGGACACCGAGCGATGTTTTTATTGGACAGTTCTAGTTTCAGTGAAATTGGCTTACTGTACTGAGAAGAGCTTTGTACGATAACCTCCAGTTCTGTAGGTCCTGCTGCTGCTCCCTTGCTCGAGATAGGATGGACTTAATTAGTAAGTTCAACTTTCCACAAAGATGGCGGTGCCACTGTTGTTGGTTTATTATTATTATTATTATTATTATTATTATTATTATTATTATTATTAACTCTTTATTCTTTGGGGACCTGCTACTCAGCTCTCTTATTCTTTCTTATGCTGGGTCTTAGCTTGGCTTGTTTCTAGCCAGCTTTCCTTAACTTAAATTATCCTGTCTACCTTTTGCCTCTGTATATCTTTTCTTTCCTTCTTATTCCATATCTGGCTGTGTGGCTGGGTGGCTGGATCCTAGCATCCTCCTCTCCTCCTTTTCATGCTCCTTTTTTGGCTTCCCCTCTTATGTTCTTCTCCTTCTATTTATTTTTTCTGTCTGCCAGCCCTGCCTATCCCTCTCCTGCCTAGCAGCTATTGGCCATTCATCTCTTTACTAGACCAATCAGGAGTTTTAGGCAGGCAAAGTAACACAGCTTCACAAAGTTAAACAAATGCAACATAAAAGAATGCAGAACGTCTTTGCATCATTAAACATATATTCCACAGCATAAACGAATGTAACACATCTTCAACTAATATTCCACAACAAGCCACCTCAAAGCCTGTTGAATAATTTTATACTTAGGCTTATATAACTAGGTACATGAATATTTAAACACTAGGAAATTCTCTCACTCTTTCAGAACCAAGCCGAAGACATCTGTGTTTGAACTTGTGTTCTTTGGCCCGTCACAAGCAATGGTTGAATATCAGGAAGAATTGTCAATTCTTAATTAGGATCCCCTGTGTCAAAGGATGCTGCCTTTTACTACTGGAAGGCAGTTTAGTTTAGTTTATGGATAATATCAAACAAAGGGTATTTAGCATGTCTCAAAAAAATTTAAAAAGAACTATCTGGAAGCATAGGAAGTGATGTTTTTGCTGCTTTTTAAAATGGTGGTTTCAGGTACTGTAGCAGTCAGGAAAGAGAGGGAGGGAAGGAGGGAGGAGGAGGAGGTAGGCACTGTCTTGGGGTCTTCAAGGGACAGGAAAGTAACTTAGTGACCTAGCGGAAGCAGCTGAAAACTCAGGACATGGCAGAGGTTAATGAGCTGCACTGCTATCCACAGTGTGCCTGGAAGTATTAATACAGAGGAAACAGGCTAGAGCTGAGAACATGAAGTGAGGAAGAAGTACGATGTGTAATTTTTTATTAGAAGCCAGTCATTGATAATTTGACCTTGTGGGATCCTGGATATTTTTACACTGATTTTTATTAGTTAGCGTTCTATTACTATAACAAAATACCTGAGGCTGGGTATTTTTTTAAGAGGCTTGTTTAGATAGCTGTTTTAGAAGGTGTTGGCTCAATTCTGGTGAGGACACCCTTCCTCTGTGTCACTTCATGGCCAGTGACGGGACAAGAGGCACCCTGCCTTCCCTTTGGTGAACCACAGCTGAAGCTGTCTATAATTTGATCACAAAAATGTGCAAATATTACAAGATCATCCACTCTACTATGCCCAGCATGCTCTCATCCTACGGTAATAGCACCAGTCCATTTTAATCACACATTCAAACTCAAACCTTCCCTTCTTTCCATTCACATGGGTAGCCTTGACACTCAGTTCTATAACAGGACTCCCACCGAGGGCTGGCGAGCTGCCTCATGGCTTCTCTACACCCAGTGTCCACACACACACACACACACACACACACACACACACACACACACACACACTGAACTGTATTGTCACCAGCAAAACAGCGATCATCTGAATTACTGTGCTGCTCTTGCTAACACGCTGAAGTCTCTTTGAAGATGAGGAACAGACAGGTCTTACTCATCTTTAGAAACTATTGGCTGTCAGGTAGCATGGGCCTCGGAGTCTGAGTGCTTCACAAGTTATCTGATTCGCCTGACCTGAGCTGTGAACAGCACAGTAAGATGGATAGCTGCAGCTAGAATCTACAGCTTCAACTCAAAGCACCATGGGTACCAGAAGCCCCTGAGGAATTCTTGCCCTGGTCCTTGCAGTGGATCTCAGTAATCTATTCTCTCATTTTTACTATATCATTTAAAACATCATGATGTTTTAGAATGTGCTTCACCAAAATATTTATTCTTTGCTTTTAGGAAATAGAGGATCCCAGGGAAATTCCTTCATATTTTTCAGTTAATCAGGAATCTTTCATGAACAACTGCCCACAGCCTAGTGGTCAGGCTCTGGGGTCTCACCTCCAGCTGCCTTGGTGCCCTTCTTGTCCTACTTACACTGACTATGTTCCTGCCATTAAAATAGGCTCCTTTTGTTTGTACTTGTGATCTCACAGATGAATACAAAACCTCCCTGCACCAGCCCTACATCCCTCCTAACACCTCACCACACCAGCCCTACATCCCTCCTAACACCTCACCACACCAGCCCTACATCCCTCCTAACACCTCACCACACCAGCCCTACATCCCTCCTAACACCTCACCACACCAGCCCTACATCCCTCCTAACACCTCACCACACCAGCCCTACATCCCTCCTAACACCACCTCACCACACCAGCCCTACATCCCTCCTAACACCTCACCACACCAGTCCTTACATCCCTCCTAATACCACCTCACCACACCAGTCCTTACATCCCTCCTAACACCTCACCACACCAGCCCTACATCCCTCCTAACACCTCACCACACCAGCCCTACATCCCTCCTAACACCTCACCACACCAGCCCTACATCCCTCCTAACACCTCACCACACCAGCCCTACATCCCTCCTAACACCACCTCACCACACCAGCCCTACATCCCTCCTAACACCTCACTACACCAGCCCTACATCCCTCCTAACACCACCTCACCACACCAGCCCTACATCCCTCCTAACACCTCACCACACCAGCCCTACATCCCTCCTAACACCACCTCACCACACCAGCCCTACATCCCTCCTAACACCTCACTACACCAGCCCTACATCCCTCCTAACACCTCACCACACCAGCCCTACATCCCTCCTAACACCACCTCACCACACCAGCCCTACATCCCTCCTAACACCTCACCACACCAGCCCTACATCCCTCCTAACACCACCTCACCACACCAGCCCTACATCCCTCCTTACACCTCACAGGCTCCTCCATGAAGCTGTAGTGCGCTGTCCAGCCGAAGCGCATGCGTTCTCTCTGGGCGTCTAGAGTGTAAGTCCTCCTTCTAGCCACATCAGCTCTCCTTGCAGTGGAAACTGTAATTGGCTGTCTAAGTCCCCCCTTGTCCTCTGAGATTACGAACCTATGTGTCACTGTCTTTGTGTTCCTCATAAATTTATCTGGTGCTTCCTGGATGAGATTCAGTAACTATTACATGATTAGGATATTACATGAGGATTTATTTTAGGGAAAGCTCACTGACAGGTACTGTCAGAAATGTATAAACCGAGCATAAGATGACAGACAGCAGCACACATGTACGGACCGCTAGAGTCTCTGGGAAAAAAACCGGGGACCACTAGAGAAGGGCCATCCGAAGAGGAAGGTAACAGCAGAAGAGACCAGCCGCAGCAAGGAGGAGGAGGAGGAGGAGGAGGAGGAGGAGGAGGAGGAGGAGGAGGAGGAGGAGGAGAAGAAGAAGAAGAAGAAGAAGAAGAAGAAGAAGAAGAAGAAGAAGAAGAAGAAGAAAAAGAAGAAGAAGAAGAAGAAGAAGAAGAAGAAGAAGAAGAAGAAGAAGAAGAAGAAGAAGAAGAAGAAGAAGAAGAAGAAGAAGAAGAAGAAGAAAGAGATGCTTTGGTGTCAGAGACTCAAGTTCAGAGGCTCAGGCACAGTTGCAGTTAGGATGCTCTTGCAGTGTACCGAGGTCAGAGCCATGGCCTGAGACAAGGAGAAAACCTCCACTTTCTCACTGCATTTTCAGTGAACAATGAAGAGCAGGAGGAGAGAGAGACAGAGAGAGAGAGAGAGAGAGAGAGAGAGAGAGAGAGAGAGAGAGAGAGAGAGAAAGAGAGAGAGAGCTGCACAGGACTGGGGGCAGTGCTGTGAAATCCTCCTGTGTCAGCACATGACTAAACAGTAGCAAGAAGACATTTTCAAAAGGCGTCTGCATGGGGCTGAAGAGACGGCTCAGTGATTAGGAGCACCTGTTGCTGCCGCAGCAGGTCTGAGCTCAGTTCTGGCAACTCACAACCACCTATAACTGCAGCTCCAAGTTATCTAGACCCGCTGCTGAATTCTGCAGGCACTGAGCTCATGTAGCATGTAGTCTCCTCTCTCTCTCTCTCTCTCTCTCTCTCTCTCTCTCTCTCTCTCTCTCTCACACACACACACACACACACACACACACACACACACACACACACAGACACACACACACACACACACAATCTAATAAAACTAAAAAACACCTGTTGCGTCAGTGCCGGGGTGGCTGTGGAGACGAAGGTCCCTCCATGTATAGTCTGGGAACCCAGAACAAGTCTCCTAGGACAGACTCTAGGATGGGTCTGCAGAATATCTCTAGCTAGAGGGGGAAAGCTTTGAGTCAGAACCTCCCAGCACCCCATAAAATGGAAATTTCATCTGAGCTGTGTGTTAGAATGGAGCACACAGAGGCAGGCACAATGCCTACGCACATGTGATTCGCTGCACAGAGGAAGAGGCTTGGCTCCAGGTGAGGACCTCATGCAGATCTGTCCCCACAGGTCTCTCTTGTCCACATGTCCGCTTCCTTCTTTAACACCCAACTTCAACTCAGTGGGCCAGCTTTGCCCTGCTGGGTTCACACTCTCCCCTTCCTTCCTTAAAGGCTTTCCAAAACCCCGAGACTGGGCCTTTGCCTCGGCGGCTGAGTTCCGGGGTTGTCTGATTACATCTCCTTTTTCTGCTCTTAGCTGGAGCTGCCTTACCGTCGCCTTTAGTCTTCCCTCTCCTCCTTTCACTTGTCCGTCTGTCTCTCTGTTGCTGTATTACTAAAGTCATTTATCATGCTCGTTTCCTTTTCATAGTTACCCTTAGTGACCAATATCTTAACACGCACCGTACTATTCTTGTTCCCTTACTTCCCCAAAATTATAGGAGTTGAAAGGGTATTTTTGTTACCTGAGACCGTATTTTCATAGTGGGCTTATCCATCAGCTGGTATGGCATTCTAGTCTCAGAGCGGTGCTGGAGACAGAGCCAAGGTCTCTGAGTATGTGTTCTGAGGGCTAAGCCACAAGCCACAATCTTGGTCCACAGGAAAGAAACAGCAGCTCAACCCTCCTACCACCCAGTCTCACAGGAACATTGCAAAACTTCCACTGAAATGATTCAGGTGAGTAAGGACAAACAAACAAACCAACCAACCGTACCAGATGCCTAAACCCCAATGCAGAAATACAAGAAACACGAAACATCAAGGCAACATTGCTCCCCACAAATTACAAATTGCACAATAATGGACTCCAAAGAAAGTTAACTAGGTAAGATCCCAGACACGAATAGAATGTGTATAAGAATGTTCAATGAAATCAATGGGGACAAGAATAAACTCAACTAATTCAAAGAGAACACACATGACATCTGAATGAAATAAGGAATTCAATAGAAGATATAAAGAGGGATCTCATTGCAAAGACAGCATCACTGCAGAGACAGCATCACTGCAGAGACAGCATCACTGCAGAGACAGCATCATATACAGAGAGCATCACTGCAGAGACAGCATCACTGCAGAGACAGCATCACTGCAGAGACAGCATCACTGCAGAGAGCATCACTGCAGAGACAGCATCACTGCAGAGAGAGCATCACTGCAGAGACAGCATCACTGCAGAGACAGCATCATATACAGAGAGCATCACTGCAGAGACAGCATCACTGCAGAGACAGCATCACTGCAGAGAGCATCACTGCAGAGACAGCATCACTGCAGAGACAGCATCACTGCAGAGACAGCATCATATACAGAGAGCATCACTGCAGAGACAGCATCACTGCAGAGACAGCATCACTGCAGAGAGCATCACTGCAGAGACAGCATCACTGCAGAGAGAGCATCACTGCAGAGACAGCATCACTGCAGAGACAGCATCACTGCAGAGACAGTATCACTGCAGAGACAGCATCACTGTAGAGACAGCATCACTGTAGAGACAGCATCACTGCAGAAACAGCATCATGCAGAGACAGCATCACTGCAGAGAACATCACTGCAGAGAACATCACTGCAGAGACAGCATCGCTGCAGAGACAGCATCACTGCAGAGACAGCATCACTGCAGAGACAGTATCGTTGCAGAGACAGCATCACTGCAGAGAACATCACTGCAGAGACAGCATCACTGCAGAGACAGCATCACTGCAGAGATAGCATCACTGTAGAGACAGCATCACTGTAGAGACAGCATCACTGCAGAGACAGTATCACTGCAGAGACAACATCACTGCAGAGACAGCACCACTGCAGACAACATCACTGCAGAGACAGCATCACTGCAGAGACAGCATCACTGCAGAGACAGTATCACTGCAGAGACAGTATCACTGCAGAGACAACATCACTGCAGAGAACATCACTGCAAAGACAGCATCACTGCAGAGACAGCATCATGCAGAGACAGCTTCATGCAGAGACAGCATCACTGCAGAGACAGCATCGCTGCAGAGAACATCACTGCAGAGACAGCATCACTGTGGAGACAGTATTACTGAAAAAAATCAAATAGAATGTTCAGAAATTTAAAGGTCAATAAGTTGAATTTAAGCAATCAGTGGAAAGCCTGATCAAAAGAATAAGTCAAGTGACAGACTACCATGGTCAGAAGACAAGAAGATGAACAGAACATGAGATCTAGGAAATAATTAAAAGAACATATTGGGGGGCTGGAGAGATGGCTCAGAGGTTAAGAGCACTGGCTGTTCTTCCAGAGGTCCTGAGTTCAATTCCCAGCAGCCACATGGTGGCTCACAACCATCTGTAATGAGATCTAGTTCCCTCTTCTGGCATGCAGGCATACATGCAGGCAGAACACTGTATACATAATAAATAAATAAATCTTCTAAAAAAATAAAAAAAAGAACATATGGGTGAGTCACATTGGATGGAAAAGTTTAAGCTAATACTATGGAAAACATGTTCAACGATGAAAAAAATCTCCAGGCTGTGCAGAGGTGACCGTGCAAACACAGGAGTCATTTAAAATATCAGACAAAACAGTAAAGAACATCTCCATATCATAATAGAACTAGAGCAAGTTTCCCTGACAGAGAAAGAATACAGAAAGCAATGAGAGGAAGCACCAAGTCACACAAAGGGAAGCGCAGTAGAGCAACAACGGATTCCTCAATAGAAAGGACCGATTATTCCAAGTTCAGAAAGACCATGACTATTAACACAGGTTATTTTGTCAAACAAAGGAATCCAAAATGAAGGGGAAAAAACTTCCCATGATAGACACAAAGTGAAAGAATTCATGACCACTCAGACAGTGCTATGAAAGACATTTGAAGGAATTCTACACACAGAAAAGAAAGATAGAAACATCTATGAGACCACAAAAATAATAAACTGTATCAGAACAACAAATAGGAAAATAGCAAACATTATAAAAAACAACAAAAACGGTTCAAAATACACAAATCAATAAATGTGATAGACTAATAGACTCAAAGACAGAAATCTTATGATCATCTCAACAGATGTAGAAGAGGCCTTTGCCAAAGTTCATATCCCTTCGTGATAAAAGCCCAAAAGAAACCATGAATAGATGAACTTACCTCAGTAACAAAAAAGCCTATACATGGTGTTTTACTTAAGTTTCTATTGCTGTGATGAAACTCCATGATGGAAGCAACTTGGGGAGGAAAGGGTTAATTTGGCTTACATCTCCACAGCACTGTTCATCATCAAAGTCAGGCAGGGCAGGAACCTGGAGGCAGGAATCTGGAGGCAGGAACCTGGAGGCAGGAGCTGAGGCAGAGGCCATGGAGGGTGCTGCTTACTGGCTTGCTCAGTCTGCTTTCTCACAGAACTCAGGACCACCAGCCCAGGGACAGCCCCCCTCACAGTGGGCTGGGCCCTCCCCATCAATCACCAACTAAGAAAATGCCCTGCAGGCTGGCCCGCATTCCTTCCTCTCACGTGACATGAAAGTGTCCAGGACACATGGCAAGT